TATAAAGAACTCTCGCAACTCAACAACAAAACATCAAACAACCCAATCAAAAAATGGGCTGGAGATATGAACAGACATTTCTCCAAAGAAGATATACCGATGGCCAATAGGCACATGAAAAGATGCTCATCATCGCTGATCATCAGGGAAATGCAAATCAAAACTACACTAAAATATCACCTTATACCCGTTAGAATGACAAAAATATCTAAAACTAATAGCAACAAATGTTGGAGAGGTTGTAGAGAAAAAGGAACCCTCATACACTGCTGGTGGGAATGCAAACTGGTGCAGCCACTATGGAAAACAGTATGGAGATTCCTCAAAAAATTAAAAATAGAACTACCATACGATCCAGCCATCCCACTACTGGGTATTTATCCAAAGAGCTTGAAGTCAGCAATCCCAAAAGTCCTATGCACCCCAATGTTTATTGCAGCACTGTTTACAATAGCCAAGACGTGGAAGCAACCTAAGTGTCCAGCAACAGACGAATGGATAAAGAAGACGTGGTACATATATACAATGGAATACTACTCAGCTGCGAAACAGAACAAAATCATTCCATTTGCAATAACATGGATGGACCTTGAGAGAATTATGTTAAGTGAAATAAGCCAGCGAGAGAAGGATAATCTGTGTATGACTCCACTCATATGAGGAATTTAAAATTATGGACTAAGAACAGTTTAGTGGATACCAGGGGAAAGGTGGGGTGGGGGGTGGGCACAAAGGGTGAGGTGGTGCACCTACAACATGACTGACAAACATTAATGTACAACTGAAATTTCACAAGATTGTAACCTATCAATAACTCAATAAAAAAAAAAATGTCTTTAATACACCTGACCTACTGAACATCATAGCTTAGCCTAGCCTACGGTAAACGTGCTCAGAACACTTATGTTAGCCTAAAGTTGGGCAAAACCATCTAACACAAAGCCTATTTCACAATAAAGTGTTGAATATCTCACATAATTTATTGAATACTTTACTGAAGTGAAAAACAGAATGGTTGTATGGGTACAGAATGGTTCTCAGTGTATCAGTTGTTCACCCTCATGATCGCCTGGCCGAGTGAGAGTTACGGCTCACTGTTGCTGCCCAGCGTCACGAGATAGTATCTAACTACATATTGCTGGCCTGGGAAAAGAGCAATATTCAAAATTCCAAGTATGGCTTCTACTGAATGTGTGTTGCTTTCCCACCATCATAAAGTTGAAAAATCATAAGCCAAAGCACTGTAAGTTGGGGAACAGCTGTACATACTTGCTATGGACTGAACTGTATCCTCCCAAAATTGCTGAAGCCCTAACCCCACAAGGCAGGATCTGGCCATGTATGCCCTCTCACACCTTTTAGACCTCATCTACTCCTTTTTTCTCTGCCTCGCTCTGCTCCAGCCATACTGGCCTTCTTGCTGTTCTCCAAGCCAAATACACACACGTCTATCTACCTCCATCTCTTCCCCTTCTCCTTGCCCCTTTCTCTTTCTCTTCCCCTCGTCCCCACAGTGTGCACCAAGGAAAGGCCACGTGAGCACACAGTGAGAAGGTGGCCACCTACAAGCCAAGAAGGAAGTCCTCACCGGAACCCAACCCAAGCAGACTAAGATAATACTGTCACATTAATGGATATTATTCCAAATATTGGAATACTACATAGTCTTTAAAATAAATGAAGCAGGGGCCAGCCCTGTGGCTGAGTGGTTAAGTTCACATGTTCCGCGGCGGCCCAGGGTTTCGCTGGTTCCAATCCTGGGTGCAGACATGGCACCGCTCATCAGGCCATGTTGAGATGGCAACCCATATGCGACAACTGGAAGGACCCACAACTAAGAATATACAACTATGTACTGGGGGCTTTTGGGGAGAAAAAGGAAAAAAATAAAATCTTTAAAAAAAAATGAATGAAGCAGCTCTTTATCAATGCATATGAAATGATTCATAACATGCAATAAGTGAAAAAAGCAAGTTGTAGAACAATATATAATATGCTACTATTTATAACAAAGACAAGATACAAGTTTGCTTACAGATGCATAGAATATCTCTGAAAGGATACACAAGAACGTTGTGGCCTCTGAGATGGGGAAGGATGACCAGGAGTATTAGGGAGATATTTCACTGCACATCCTACACATTTTGAATTATGTACCACATGAATGTATCACCTACTCCAAAAACATTTTTAAGTTTAAAATTTTTTTAAAGGAGCATGTGGTTCATTTGCTACTTCTCAAAAAATGACTTTAGTTGTAAGACGCTTTTTAACAGTCCTCAGTTGATCTTATTCCAGCAAGCTGTAGCCACCTACAGAAAAAAATTCTCATTCATGGTTTAGATTAGGTTGACCATCTGGTCTTTAGACTACTGCCCAAACTATCCAAATCCAGCGCACCCTTCCCATCTCCAATCCCCTTCTATCTGCTTGGTTAAATCTTCCTTGATAATCTCAAATCATGATCATCTCTCTAGCCCCCAAAATCACATTTCCCTTGAGACCACTCATCTGGACATTTTTCTGCCTTGTAGAGGGTAGGAGCACTGGGCTTTGCAGCAGTCAGAACTGGGCCTGAACCCTTGATTACCTGGGTACATTTCTTAATCTAAGCCTCAATTTTTTCATCTATCCAACAGAGATAATGACAGTATCTACTTCACCGAATTTTTGTGAGTAGCTGCCGTCAATAAGGCATGTAATATCTCAGCAAAGTGCCTGACACACAGTAAGCACTCAATAAATGTTAGGTATCATTATTATTATCTGTCCATCTCTTTTCTTCCCCATAAGACTGTAAGCAACTTGAGGGCAAGAATCCTGCCTTTAGTGTCTAGGTATTTCTTACGTATAATGGGAATTATACTATATACCACAGAATAGTACCAAACAGACAAAACATATCTGAAATACTTAGCACAATGCCCAGCATAAAATGCTCAATAAGCATTAAGATTGTTCTCTCATACTTTTGTTTCTTCGTAATGTTTCTAACAGAGAATCCTGCATATGCGAGAAACCTGGGTGTGATGGCCGACCCTTCCTAGTTGGGTGAACCTGAGTTACTCAGCCTCAGTTTCCTCGTTCTCCTAAGGGTGATGACATATATAATGCATCTTAAACATTTAACAGCAGCTGGCACCTAGAGGATGCTCAACAAATACGAGGCCAGCTCCCCTTCCCGTCTCTTCTACTCTTTCCCCTGAAGGTACTGGTTCCGGGCAGGCAGACGGCCTGCAACCTGGCGGGCCCTCAGGAGGAGGATTTCATAAATTTGCATGCGCACCATCTCCCAACACCCGGGCCTCGCCTCCCGCCACCTGGCAGAGGCTCCGAGTGCCTGAGGAGTCTGCTCCTCTCAGCTCCTCGGAGCGAATGTTCCCTCCGCCCCTCCGCACCTCTCGAAGCCTCGCCGTCCCGCTCTCCCGACCCCTCCGGGCTTCCTTCCTTCCGCCTCATTTACCGACACCCTTCCCCAACCCCATTTCTTCCTCCTTCTTCAGCCTCCAATCCCTCTCGCTCGGAATTCCCAAAGCTGTTCCTTCTCGGTCCCCGACGTCACCTCCCTCGCCCAGCGGCGCCAGGAGCTCGTCTCCTCTCAGGCCGCCAGGCCCCGACCCCTCCCCCGACGCTCGCGCTCCAGCGTCCCACCTGCACTTTCCGCCTCTTCAGCGCCGCCGCGTCCAGCCACACGCCGCAGGCCTCCTCCTCGGGGCCTCTCCGCCTCATGGCGGCTGCGGAGGCCGAGCCGACCGAACAAGGGCTGGGGCTCCAGCCGCCTCAGGGAACCGCCGCAACCGCCGCCACCAGGGCAACTTTGGATCTCCCGCCAACGCTGGGGGCGGGGCTACGCCGCGGCCGCGGCCGCCCCGGCGCAGGCCCCGCCCCCAGCGTCGGCCCCGCCCCGTAAGGCCCCGCCTCCTCCCCTAAGCCCCGCCCGACGCCTCCCCCACGCCCTTCCTCTCAGGTGTGGAAAGCCTTCACGCTCTTTCTGTTCTCGTTCAGGAGTTGCTTTCCGGAGCCTATGCTGTGTGATCGCCTTCGCAGCATAGCACAAGGAATGTGTTTTTTCTTTTGGCTCAATTAGTTGCACTTTCTTACTGTAAAGTAATAACTACCGGGGGCTCAGGGTTTTCCTTGTCTCATCGCTGAATCCTCACAATCATCCCAAAAGGAAGGATGGAGCCGAGGCTCAGGTGCGCCAGGGTCCTCCACAGGACCCTAAATGGTGACCCTAAATGAATTACTTTTGTAATTCAAAAAGAAAAAAGAAATCTAAGCATAAGTGTGAAACCACATGGAAGAGGACTTAGAAAACCATGAATGCTAAAAATTTGGAGTCAAGAACTAGCTTTCAGTCCTGCCTTCACGGCTTACTATGTGGCCTTGGATTTTAAAGAGGATCAAACGAGGTTTGTGAAACTACTTTGTAAATTCTCAAAGCCCCTCAGAAATGCAAAAATGCTGGCAACCCACCCGTCCTTCCACCCTAACCACAATCCCCATAGATGTCATATTTATATAGTAGGATATTTTAGCAGTACAGCCATATTTCTTATTCATTTGGAGTTTTGTTCTTTTCTTATCTGTACTTCCTAATTTTCCTTCGCTGTACATATATTGCTTGTGTACTGTAGAAAATGCACTATTACAAAAGTTACATATAACAATATTACAAAAGTTAATGTATAAAATCCTCCTTGATTGAAGGAAAGACCAAAAAATGAAATCTTTGTCAAATTATAAGGTGCAATTATGTATATTTTAAACACATTCTTTTAATTTCTAAAACTTATTTAGTAACAAAACGCCTCCGCCTTTCCTGCCAAAAAAAAAGTTCACTTATATAGTGTATAAAGCCCCAAGCCCACACGCCAGGCAAACATAGAACAGGAACTGCCCCCCTTCTCCCTGTGCCCACCCCCAGGAGCCCCAGCTTCCTTGGGAAAACCTCCTCCTGGCCCCTCGCTGGGACAGGAGACAAAAAGCAAAGAGGCAGCTGTTAGCACAGTCACTTTATTGCATCTAGGACACATCAGAGTCCAGATCACCGCCAGCTCCAGCCCCACTGAACTCCTCCTTCCATACCTCTTGGCCTTTGTACAGGTTTTTCCCTCTGCCGGGAAGGTCCTTCCTGAATCTGCAAACTCCTACTCACCCTTCCCAACCCAAGACCCTGAGGGTCCCAGGCTACACTGATTATTCGCTCCTCAGTGCTTCCCCTGACAGTTCATTCCATTATTAAAGTCTTCATCATCTCGTATGGATCCACGGGGCCCAGTCGGTGGTGTACCTCTGAGCAGAGGCCTAGGAAACACATACTGGATAACTGAATCGTGAACAAGGGAACCAGGAGAGAGGCTGGGAACAGGATGGGTGGGACACGGAGGCCAGAGCTACACCATTGGGGCTCACCATCTAGGGCAGTGACTGAAGAGGTGTGGGGCACTGGATGGGATCCATTTCCACCTGGCACAATCTTCTACCTTTGGGGGCTCCCTGGAGCTCCAAACCTCCAGGCTGGGGTTCAAGGCACAGTAAGCTCCTGCACACACTTGGGGCCCGCCCCTTCCCTATCCACCCAGGAAACCTGGGTAAGGGGGCTGCTGAGGCCTCCCCTACCTCTCAGCTCAAATCGGACTGGCCTTAATCCCACCTTCACCCCCTCTCAGGTAATCTGGAAGCCCCAAACCAGGGTCCTGGCCCTAACTGACCCCCCCATCCTTATCCTAGTGAAAGGCAGTGTGGGGAGGCAAACCAGGGTGGCCCACATCTTTCTCTCTTCCCCTCTCCTAGGGCAGGGAACTGGGGCAGGCCCAGGAGTGGACTCCAGCAGTTCCTGGCCAATCCCCAAATCCAAGGACTGGCCAGTGCCGCCTGTGGCAGCTGAGGTGTGCGCAGAGAGTCACCGCGGGCCAGACACAAACAACTTTACCAGGACTTGTTCCCATCTGGAGCCAAGCCTGGACCCCTGGACCTCCACTATACCTCCCTCCCTATCAGATGCCACCCCCCTTCACTGGGTCTTCCGATCGAGTTTGCGCCGTACCAGCTGGCTCAGGAGGAACGCAGTGAGGAAACTGCTGCCCATGGTGAGCAGGAAGAGGCCGGAGAAGTTGTGGGGCCAGCGGGTGTGCAGAGGCTCATAGATGGGCCGGCGGGCCTCATAGTCCAGCGCCACGGCCTCCAGCTGAGCCAGCGTGCACAGCACCAAGAACACATGGAAGACCTGGTGGCCTTGCCCGAAGACATGGCAGCTGCCAGGGAACCAGCGCTCAGGCTCGAAGGCTGAGAAGAAAGCGGCAGCCAGCAGGAAGAAGAGCACCTGGCACTTGTGGTAGAGAAGAGCCGGGTCGTCTGTGGCAGGGTCGGAGACCAGGATGCGGTGCACCACGGGGCTGATGTCCAGGGCGTAGGCCAGTGCCGAGGGCACCTCCTGGAAAGTGCGGCCCAGCAGGCCGGGCTTTTGGGTGTACTTGCTATAGCAGGAGCCAGTGCAGGAGAGCCAGGCAAGAAAGGCAGCCATGGGCAGGAAAATGCTGTGCACCCGGGCATGCCAGGCGGGCTCGATGGCGTAGTGGAAGTGCACCAGGGCACTGCCATACTGGTACACGGCCACACCCACGTAGTCCAGGAAGAAGAAGCTGTAATGCCAGAACTCAGACTTGGCCTGCAGGAGGTGAGCCAAGGCACTGAAGGAGAGGTAGGTGAAGGAGGTGAAGATAATGATGAAGAGAGGCAGGGCGTGCGGGTCTCCCCAGAAGTCCACGGTCCCCGCGAAGATGGCCAGCCGCAGCAGCAGCACCAGGGCCGCCAGCAGGTGGGTCCAGACGTTCACGGCCTCGTTGTGCTGCTGGAACAGAGTGCGGAAGTAGAAGCGCCAGGTCTGATGCAGCGGCCGGTAGCCCACATAGATGTATGGCTTCCAGAAGAGGGGCGGCACCTCGGCTCGGTCCACCGTGAAGACAGTATCTGGCTGCACAGATGACTGAGGCTCCTGGTGGACCTGCCGCAAACTGGGCAGGAGGTGGCTGAGCTTCTGGGCCACCAACGTGGCCATGGCTGTGGGTCAGACAAGGAGCTGGAAGAGAGGCGAGAGCAAAGTCAGGAGGCTGGGGTGCTCAGCCTGTCACCCACGTGAGCAGCAGCTGGGAAGCCCTGATGCCAGGTCTTATTCCCTCCTCCCGTCCCCTTATCCCTACACCGAATTTAAGAGGAGAGGAGTCATCCTAAGGGAGAGCTTCATTCTGACTCACGATTGTTCTGCTGTCTGATGTATACCGAGTGACTAGAACAGTGTCTGGTACATAATAGGTGCTCAATAAATGTTTGAGGAATGCATTACTTAAGGAGGCTCAGTATCTCAGCCATTTCCTTTCCAGTCCAGGCTCCACACAGCAGCTCCCACTGTTCTCTCCTGTGTTCATGCTGCCATCAGTGTTCACCTGGTGGTGACAATGACCTTGCTAAGAGACCCACTGCCTCTACCTCTAGCCCCTTCAGAGCAGCCTGGGTCTCTCACTGACCCTCCATTACCCTACATGATTTGGTCCCTGTTACCTTTTCCAACCTTATTGCTCAACCACAATGCACTTCACATCCAGCCACAGCCTTACCAAACACCTGGGCCTGCTGTTTCTCATGTCTGCAGCTTGGCACAAGCTATTCCCTCCCCCTGAGACACTTTCCTCCTCTTGCATATCAGGCAAACTCCTACTCATCCCTCAAAACCCATTTCTTCTGTGATACTTTCCCTGGCCCTCTGAACCTCCTGTGATGACTCCTCTACTTGAGTGCCTACCATCAGATACCCATCCTGTGACCATTATATCACTTGTCATGGGCATTAACATTGTTAATGTAAGCTCATTGAGGATAGGCGGTGTGTCTCATTATTTTGGGAACCCCTTGGGCTTAGCAGGTAGCTGGTGCTCAATGTTTGTTGAATGAAAGAACAACATAACAGCATCCTGACAACACTTCATACCCTTCAAGACCCAACTCAGAATGCCTCTTTCTTCCTGAAAGTCCCCGGTAACAACTGATCCTATAAAAACAACCCTTTCACTCAGCCATACCCCCCACTCAAGTTGCCCCCTCCAGCCCTTCCACACCCACCCATGGTTGCTAATTGCAAATAAATCAAATCTAACCCCTTACCCAAGGATTCAAGACCGCAGGACCTGCTCCCACCCTCATTTCCCACATAACCCAATGTCACATCCTGTACCAACTTCCTTTCCCTCCAGTGACATCCTTGAAGGCCAATACAAGCTGCCATTTCCAGGGGACCTCCTTACTGCCTCCTTAGCTTCCCCTGTGGGAAACTGATAATGGCTTATACAATTTAGCATTTAAAATAGATTCATTCATTCATTCATTCATTCATTCAACAAACACTTACTGAGCCCCTTCTCTGCGTCAGGTCCTGTGCTGGATCCAGGGGAGGGCAGAGTGGAAGGGGATTTGATCCCTGTCCTCAGGAACTTCATGGTACAACAGAGGTTACAGAGAGGAAAACAAATCATAGCAAATGCTTACACTGCACTTGCTGTGTGCCAGACACTGTTTGAAGCATTCTATGTGTAACTGACTCATTTAAGCGTCAGAACACCCTGTGAAGTATCATTATTCCCATTCTTCAGATAATAAACTGAGGCACAGAGAAGTTAAGTACATGCCCACCCACCTAGCTAGAAAGCAGCAGAGACACGATCTGAACTCAGTTAGGATCTTAACCACCATCCTAAACTGCCCTTTGCAAGACGAGGTAGCAAATGCTATTAATCATTTCATAATTATATACTATTTGTCTGATACCAGTTGCTTCATTCGGCCTTATCATTATTCACTGTGTCATTCATTAAATCAAACATCTATTGAAAAGCTGGCACCTGCCAGTCAACTCCCCTCCCTCAACCTCCCTCCAACAAGCTGATTGGACTCAGCATCCAGGTATTCTGTTCAGTGTTCACCAGATATTTACTGCAACTACCTTTGCACCAGTCACTGTAAGAGACAAGGAGATCCAGGCAGGATAAAGCACTGTGTTCTCTGCCACCAGCACTGGATCGCCCCGTCCCGAGGCCACCCAATTATCACACATGGTCCAAGTAAATGCAGAGGGCTTGATAGGCAAAGGCCACAGCCCGATTTGCATCCCTAAGCTCGTCCTGCATTACATTCTGAGGTCATCTCTGGGGTCTGGCCTTTCCTAGTCCAGGGAGGAGGCGGGAGCTAAGTCATCACAGCACCGCCCGAGGGGCGCCCCGACATGATACTTGTCCTTTCTGTTCCCAGACACTTGTCCTTTCTGTTCTCAGACAGCCGGGCACAGGGCAGGTTAAGAAGCAGACCGTGCTGATGGACTAATTAATGGAGCCACTTCCATCCAGAGCACGAGACCCCTGGCCCGCCTTGCTGTTGGGGAGCCAGCACTGGATTTCTTCTCCTCCCTGACAGACTGGGCTTCAGCCTCAATAATCTGACCTCCGCCCTGGTCTACAACTTTGTCTTCCCATCTCAGGACCTCGGGGAGCCAGAAAAGGCCTCTGGAAGCATCTCGTGCAGCTCCCTTGTTTTACATCGAGGACACAGGAAGGCCTTCCTCAGAACTGCCCAGTCCAGCAAGGTTTCCATTGCACCAGGAGGGCAAAGACCAGGGAATGACGACATGCGATGGTGGCCTGGTTCCTGAGTCCCTGTGATCTAAGTCCAGTCCAATGCTCCACATCCCACTCTTTGAACTTTCTATGGCATAACAGCATGTTAAAGGCTCTGAGAAGTCCTGCAGCAAAGAAACCTGCCTCTCTTTGTTGAACCTACATTTGCCAACCTTACGTAGCCAAGGATGCCTTTTCCTGTTACATATTATAAAGCCAGCTCAAACGTAATAAGTGTTTACTCTATGCTCACTCTTTACAATCTGATTGCAATTAATTCTCATCACTAGCTTGTGAGATAGGTATTATTATGCCCATTTTGTTTGTTGAGGACAGTGAAATTCAGAGAGATTAAGAGCTCATTACCCAAGGTCAGAGAAGGAGAGAGAGAGGTGGGGCCAGGATTTGAACCCAGCTCTCTGACTGCAGAGACTGGACCTCTTAGCCACTCTGCTACAGCCCTGCCTCCTGTCACACCTATCTGCACCCACAGAACTACTTTGGAAAATACTGGTCTCTAGGGCCAGCCCAGTGGTGCAGCAGTTAAGTTCTCAGGTTCCGCTTCTCGGGAGCCTGGGGTTCGCTGGTTGGGGTGCAGACATGGCACCGCTTGGCACACCATGCTGTGGTAGGCATCCCACATATAAAGTAGAGGAAGATGGGCATGGATGTTAGCTCAGAGCCAGTCTTCCTCAGCAAAAAAGAGGAGGACTGGCAGTAGTTAGCTCAGGGCTAATCTTCCTCAAAAAAAAAAAAAAAAGAAAAGAAAAGAAAAGAAAATACTGGTTGAAAGCAGGTACCCAAGTCTTTTCCCATAAATTATTTCCTTAGGTTTCTAGCAACGGATTCACATCCAGAGACCTCAGTCTCCCCCAGTTATCACTACCCACTCGCTCTGCACCAGGGAAGGCCTGGCTCACTACCCCATCAGGGGGGTGATAGCTCACTCACAGCCCCCTCTCCCTCCCCCAGCACAACAGGCCCTAAGCACAGAACCCAGAGGCCACATACTGAGATAACAGGGATCCTGCCGCCCTATCTCCTTTAGACCTCAGCCAGAGGCCCCATTCCATCTGAATAGGTCTACTTTCAGAAATAGTTCCCCTCTCCAGATTCCATGGAAAGGGGCCCTGGATCCAGGGGAAATGAGCAGGGGTCCAGCATGAGCTGGAAGGGTGAGGGTGGGGATCCAGACAGCACCCTCAGGGCATCCTCTGCGTAGTCTGCCCACCAGGCTGCTGGGATCTGCCGGTTCCAGGCATCCCACTCCAGCCCAGGACACCTCCACGGCCCCCTCCAAGCCTCCCATACTGCGCTAGTTACCTAGGGGTTTCTCTCAAGCCTGGGGGCTGATGATTTCCGCTGTAGGATGGGACAAATTTGCCAGAGGCCAAGTACTGAGTGGCACTTCCACAGGTGAGGGTCACCAGGCGTGGGACTTCCAGGGACTGTCTTGTGTGATGTCACCACCAGAGGGTGGGGCTAAAGACAACCTTCACCCCTCTACCCTCCCCCCATCACCACTCCCACATCGGTCAAATCCAGGCTAAACTCTGCCCTCCTGGCCAGGCCTTAGCTGCAGAAAGAAGCCCACGGTTAAGCTCTGCGTGAAACATCTGGGGAAAGTGAGGGCTAGCTGAAAAGCTGTGACTTACCCAAGATCACACGGCAAGGCAGGCAAAGCTGGGCTGAGACCAGGTGTCCAGGGCCTGGTTGAGGGATGTCAGGCAAACTTGACTGGCTTCTGTCTGCTCCTCACCGGGAATCAGAGTGGAAGGAAGCCAGGAAGAGAGGAGAAAAGACACATAAAGGCTCGTGAAGGAGATGGACTTCAGATTCAGACAAACCAGGTCTGACTCCTGATTCCATAACATATTAGCTGTGTGATCTAAGACAAGTGACTCCCCTTCCCTTATCCTTAGCTCCCTCATGGGAATTATTATCTACCTCATAGACTGCTGCAAAGATAAAATTCATTAGAAGAAAGTGTTAGCACAGTTTCAAGACTCAATAAACAATTGCTATTATTATTTATTAATAGCAGTAGTAACTAATTACTACTAAGAATAGTAGTATTTAAAATATCTCCAGGGCCAAGCCCGGTGGTGCAGCAGTTAAATGCACACATTCTGCTTCGGTGGCCCGGGGTTCACCAGTTCAGATCCTGGGTGCAGACATGACACCACTTGGGAAGCCATGCTGTGGTAGGCGTCCCACATATAAAGTAGAGGAAGATGGGCATGGATGTTAGCTCAGGGCCAGTCTTCCTCAGCAAAAAGAGGAGGACTGGCAGCAGATGTTAGCTCAGGGCTAATCTTCCTCAATCAATCAATCAATCAATCAATCAATAAAAAATATCTCCAGCCTGAGATTTCCTCGGGGTTCTCTAAAAAACTCATTCCTCTTTTAGCCCTCAATAGCTGGGTCCACTGGATTGGGGGGCCTTAGAAAGTTATCTGTGTTTCTTTAAACATTTACCTTTCTCTGAGGGTGCATTTAGGGACCAGGGGAATTTGGCGGGAGTTTGGACTTCTAGAGACACTGACTTTATTTAATACTTAAAGTGTTCTCAGCAAAGACCATTCAGAGTAACCTTTCTGGATTCACAGAGCCCTGAAGATTTGCACTTGCCCCCAGACCCAACAGAGGTAGACGGGAAGTGAAACCCCCAGGGACAAGGGTCCCAGCCCTAGCAGTCCCAGCAGCCGGCAGAAGGGAAAAGTGGGTGGCCCGCCCTGGCAGTTAATCTGACAGGCACATGGGGCACGTGGCCAGGCCGGGGCATGTCCTGCAGGTTTGGAAGGCTTCCAGGTTGTCTGAAGTTTAGAACTGAGATCTCCAGGCTCCAAGTCCGGCTTCCTCCATCAGCCTGAGCAGCTCCGTCCTCCTCTCCCCTCGCAGCTCCCCAGCCCTCCCAGCTCACATTCCCCTTTTCCTGAACTCAAGGTCAACCTCCTCACCTCCCTCCTCAACCAAGGCTGGCCACCCCTAGTTCCTCCTGGTCTCCACCTGATACACACTGTCAGAGTCCCCTAATCCCTCTGGGGGCAAAAATAGCAGACCAGGTTGGGAGGATGGGGTAGGAAATGGGCTATGGAGGGGACAGCCACGGGGTAGACCCATGCCATAGTTTTACTCTGCGCTCACTATATGCCAGGCACATGGCTGCAAAGCTGGGGCGCACGGTGAATGAAGCAGGCAGGCTCCCTGCCCTGACGGAGCTCACCCACACAATGAAAAGCCCACGGGCCTAGGGAAATCCAGACCAGAGGGAAGGCGCCCAGGTAGTGACCATGGAGCACTGGAGAGAGCTGCGGCTCCAAGGAAGGGTGTCTACCACTCACCTCGGGCCCATCTTTCAAGAGAAGCCAGGTCCCCATTTTTATGTGAGAATGGGATTTCAGGTCTGGAACTTACCAGCTGTGTGACTTTGCTAAAATCCTTTAACCTCTCTGAGCCTGTTTCTTCACTTACAATCGAAGGATAATAATAGCCACCTTTTGGGCTCTTGTGAGAGTCAAAGTCACGGATGCTAGGCGTTGGCTCTGGCACAGCACTGGCTCCACTGTTTTTGTTGGCTTCTAGTCCTGGCTCAGCCACTCAGTCCCTGTGTGACCTTGGACAAGTCCCTTCTGCTCTCGGCCCTGTTTCTCCACCTGTCAAAGGAGAGAGTGAATTCACCAGTGACTTCAAAGGGCCCTTCCTGGCCTACTATGTGCCAGGTGCTGGAGCCTCAGCAGCAAATAAAGCAGTTAAAACACTGCCCTTAGAGAATTAACAGCCCAGCTATTTAATAGCTAAAGGGAACACCTAAGGGTTTTAACACCCTGCCCTATTGGAACTCCTAACTCCTAACTCCCTATTGGAACTCCTAACTCCTAAGTATCATTGAGTTATAATTCCACTTCCTCTTCTGCCTCCTTTCTGACATGCAAAATATTCATTGTTGTTTCTCTGGCCCCAACTGTTCAGCACACTCCCTTAAAGAGAGCTTTATCTTGCCATGGAAGGCAAAGTTTAACCCCATTGGATAAAAATGATAAGGCCAGGCCAGTGTTAACCACCGGCTGTCAGAGGTAAACTCTCCTGAAGGGTCCTGATAAGGACAGCACAGTCGGGCAGAGCCTGAAATGTTACTAACTAGACCAGGCACTGCGGGCAGTAACTTACAGCGGCTTGCTGTTTACCAATGACTTTCACACACATTTCACCTCTCCCCCCCAGCAACTCTTTGAACCTGCAACTAAGCCGGTGTCACAGCCGCGAGGGCAGGATGGCAGAGCACACGGGTCTGACTCCAAAATCAGTGCTCCTGCCCTCCATCTGCTGTATTCAGCTCCCAGGTGCCCAGTGGGCGGCCACAGATGATACAAGCAAAGTTTTCATCTCTGGCTGGCTACTCGCTGTCTCCACAAGTGGGTCACCTCCCTCACTGCAAACCAATTCCCCAACTCGGCCCAACGTGTTTAAAGAAAAAGTCCTTCCATGTCTTCCAAAACTGAACAGGAACCACTTGTGGTTTTTTGTAACTGCACTTTGGGCCTCCATTTGTCCTGAAAAGTGTGATCAGCACGAGATAACTCTTACAGGAATTCTTTCGTGGAGATCAGACTCACAAATGCTGTGAGGACAGGGAAGAACCTGGAGAAAAGCAGGCCCAGAGAGGTTAGGGGAGCTGGCTACAGTCACCCAGCACAGGAGGCAATAAAGGGAGCTGAGATTCACCATTGACCAGCAAGGAGACCAGCAAGCAGAACTAGCAAGTTCGCTGGGCAGGAGAACTGAAGCTGGAGAGGGGCGGCCTCTCACCAAGGAGCCCAGAGGTGGCACAAGGCCCATGCCTGGAGGCTGAGCTCCTCTCCCATAGGAGCTAAAACATGGAGTCCTGGGCCATGTACTCAGGGGTAGCCAGGCTCTGAGAATCCATCAGACTCTCAGACTTCTCAGCCTTGGCCTGACCTGGCCCCATCCTCCCACCAGGCCTGCGTTGGGCGAGGGGGGGGGGGGGCATGACCCAGGGAAACCTCTGGGGGTCCTCAAAGCCTGTGGGCTTGAGGAAAGTGCTGTGGGGCTCCTTCCCCTTCCCTCACTGAGTGAGGGGAACCCCCATGCTCTCCTGACACGAAGGGAGCTTTCCTCATCCCCACGGGGCTAGGCTCCTTTGGAGCAAGTGCCCTCCTGGACCCCAGCAGCGCTGTTCCCACTGTTTCCGGTTTCCCAGCTGGGAGCCCCTCACATCACCCAGTTCCAGGTACTCACACTCCTTTTTGCCCCCAGAGTCTCCCCAGATTCCTCCTCCAGTCCTGCCTAGCTTCCTGCAGGACTCCGAGGCCCTCCCAGGCCAGCCCGGTCCTCTGCCGCTCGCTCACAGACGTCCTCCCCCTCCGGCTCTGCCTCCCTGCCTCCTCCGGCCTCCTCCACTCCTCCCGGAGATGCTCCCGCTCTGCGCCTCCTTCCTGCTCCCACTCCCTCGCGGCGGCGCCCCCTCCAGCTGGTCCCCTGGCGTCCTCCCACTCTTGACCGGAGGTGCGCCCTCTCCGGCGACAGAGGCCTGCCGGGGCTCCCTC